AAAGGTCGGATACTTTTCTCACAGGCCTCATATACTAGATATACCTTGCAGGTACAAAGTGATTAAATTAATTACCATCAATCAGTTTTATTTTCTTCTTAGATTTGAGAAATATGTTTACTTTGGTGGCTGTTAAATGCTTGAAAGTAACTATTTAGCTTTAAAAATTATCCATTAATAATGACAAGAATAGAAGCTACAATAGGTTAACAAAATGTTTCAGCAAACAATATACATCATCAAGCTGAAGTGTTCTGGGATGAAAAAATTGGTGAAAGTTTTCCACATACAGGTTTTTATCAGCTTAATTTTTTTATCTTCCATTGATAGTTATGTTGTTTTCTGAATCTGTTAGATAGGTGTTTGGAAACACATTTAATGATAGAAAGTTTTTCTTAATCTACTTGAGGGCAGAAGAAACCATACTTGCTTATTTTGATCCATGTTGACATTATAACTTTCTCATATAAATCCTGATATAATATCTGTATGTAAGGTATCATTTAATCTTCACAATGCTTTTTACAGTAGAATTGTGGTTGCTTATTTACTGCCAATGCCTTTTTGGCAGGTACATTTTGTAGGCAGCACATAGTAGTATCAATGTCACATTTCTCTCCTTAGTAACAATCTTGAGATTATACCTGAAATGCATATTTGTTTGTTTGTTTTCATGCTTTTTTTAAACTTATTTCCAAATCATTCGAAATTCAGTCTGAATGAATAAAATTAGGATTATATCATTAAGAAACAATTACCAGAATACACTTCAACACAAATACTATCATTTTCAAACAGAATTACTGAGATAAAAGTGTTTTTTGTACATGTGTATTAATTACTTTTTTAATCATATCTATTATTTTACAATTTTAGTAAACATATGCACTTGCTCATAGCTGTAGTTGTTCAAAGATGATTCATTATTACAGGATCTCATTCAGTAGGATGTATCCATGGGTTGTACTTCTTATTATAGGAGTTCATTCAGTACAAAGTAACCATGAGTTGTATTGATTATTACAGGAATTCATTCAGTATAAAGTATCCATGAGTTGCAGGCCCATACATTGAATGTTTGAAATGGCATTTCTAATAGGTGAGGTCAAAAGTCAACACATGTTATGCAAAGCATGCTAATGCTACATGAACATGAATTTAGTGACTGTGTAGCAAAGAGTTTCAGTAACATAAAAATATTTGGTACACTGAAGCATGTTTTTAAGCAGTCAGCCAGTATCTGGGGCCTATCCTGGAGAGATATAGAGCAATGTAGACTATGTAGAAAACACTAAGTACCATTAGCAGCTGCTCTATAACTATAAAAGCATAATTTTTTTACATTTTGGGGGGTTCGGCCAACCCCCCCCCCCCCCCATTATATTTTTTATGACATATTTCAAGAGGTGTGACGTATCTTATAATGTGTTCAAAACTTTGATGCACTCAAAAGAATAATTTTAAAAATATGTAATATGTAAAGGTAATTTGAAAAGTGAATTTAAATATATTATACCAACAATTTTTTTTTCATTTCTACCTCACTATTAAATTGCTAAAACTGATATTGTTAATTCACTGTTACTGTGACATTACACCTTTTGTAGAACTCTTGAGTACCTGTTGTTGTTTTTTAATGGTGGATTTTGGTGATATTCAATTGTATATTATGTGAACAAAGCAAGAATGAAGGACACATTGGGATTCTGATTACTAATTTATTACTCTTTTGAAAAATGGTTAAGAATTTAGCTTTTATTTTATGAAAAAATTATAATAGCCTGACTACTACTGATTTGAAATGTTATCGGGATATAAAAGTGTGTATATTATGTTGTTATTGTTAACCCTCTTGCTATGGATAGGTCAAAGGACACATGTCAATTAATACAATAGTGTAACTTTGATACATACCATTGTCATGTGACTTGCTGAGTTGCATATTCAAACTTGTTTTAATCCTTTCATTGTGGTCAGATCAAAAAGTGCATGACACAACATTTTAAGTTATTTTCATACTTGTATTAAATAATTTCAGTATTATTTATTTCAGTAGAATTGACATCAAAACGTAGTTTATAATGCAAATTTTAATATTATATATGTTTTAATTTCTTAATTTTAAAGTAAATATAAAGAAAAAATGCCAAGTATTATATTCTGTTTTTCACATAGCATTTCCTATTGTTTTATTGCTCTGTTTATAATTTATTATGCCTACCACTTAATGTGTGAAGTGTTAACGAATTATAAATTCAAATTATAGATATTGAAAAGCTATAATATTATATAAGAACTTCATACCTCTTTGATTTACTGAGATATCAATATATTTAGTCAATCTTGTAGTTTGGCTCCTCCCACTGCTCCATTCTTTCAAAGACCCACCTACTTTTTTTGACCAAGAGCTTATAACCAATAGAATGAGCAGTTTCTTGTGTATGTAAATCTTATAGCTATTTGTAAATTTTGCTGAAGCTGTTGAAGTGTCATGACCAGTTGTTGGTCTGAAGAGAAATGGGATTTTTTAAAACTCATATATAGCTTGTTTAGAAACTCAGATATATTACAGGGATTTTTTGTGCACTGATATAGCAAGTTGATAATCTTTTTTTGTAATATGTATGTTTGAAGTGTACAAAAATTAATAGCTCTTCACCTTCCACTCAGAAGAATAAACAAGGCTTATGGCAAGGCTTAGCATGTGTGACACTCAAGCATAAAATCTCGTAACCACCCTCAGTACTTGAAATCATTGTTTTTTGAAGTATCTTTTATTTATTCTTCTATGTTTTAAGAAAAAATAACTAAAATGTAAGCTTTTGTGAATAAATAATAACATTATACATATGTAATATATGGTAGCCAAAATTTCACTGTATTTTGCAAAATACTAAAATATTGGTATTATAGTTAGAGATTTATACTCTGTAGATCTATATAGTTATGTCTACTGAATTTGTATGATTCTTCTAAATGTCTAAACTGAGGTAAAATAAAAGCAAATAATGCAACATTAGAAGCTCAACAACTTAAAAAAGGAGGTTATTCATAACATTTTAGAAAGGTACAATACTTTACAAATGTCTGTACATCTCTACAGTATACCACTAAATTTTTAACGTCCCATAAGGATTACCAATATTGAAAGAATTGCAATGTTTGTTGTATGAGCACAAAACCATATAATAAACATTTTGACAGATTCAAAGTGCAGTCATTACTCTGGAGAATTTTTTGTTATAAACACTGTAGGATAGATACATAAGCTGATAAATTCCACATCCTGTTGTCGGCATAAACATTTTCACTGATTCTACATGCAGTGTATTACTCTGGTTAATTTTCTTAGTAAACTCTCTTAGATATATAATCCAATACATTACACATCCTGTTCTCAGAGTATGGGTCAAGCTGGTTATCTTTTCATGCATACTTTGATGCTTTCAGGGGTATCACATTAGTGTGTCAAGTAAAGAGTCTAATAACACATGTAGTGACTTGTTGCTTTATTTTCAGTGGATTTCTACTTCAGTCATTGACAATAAAATAAACACAGAAAATATATGTGAAATGTTTAGCAGTTGAAACTCAAGAGAAGTACTTGAGTAATTTTGTGAACAGTAATCAAGAAAAAAAAGGGCACAGCTGCTCATTTTATTTCTGATTTTACAACTTTTTATTATACTTTGCTTTGTCTACTGGCTGAAAAATAAAATATACTGTTAGGGTAGAGGTAATAGCAGATAAAATATAGTTTTATATTTACTTAGGATTACAAAAATGAAATTTGACATGTTTGAGACAAAGAAAAGTATTTTTCATCTTAACATAAAAATCACTTTGCTCTCAGACTAGTCAAAAAAGATTCAATTTATTAATGGAAGAATTGTTAGTAAAAATACTTCTTTAAAAAAACTGATTTTTTTGTGTACAAATGACTTAATGTTTCCTAAAAGGTTGCAAAAGTTTGTGAAGATACACATACTGTTTTAGTTTGAAACTATATACAAGTAAAAATGGTCATGTGGTCAGTCTGAGATTGAGCCTGTATTGAGAGAGTTAACATAACAATATTAATTAGTATTGTATCACAATGATTTCAGTGATTTACAAAACCTTGAAGTTTTATGTGTTTTTCTCATATCTGCTCGTATTATTAGTGGTTTGTTCTTTTTTTTCCCTCCCCATCAAAATTTATGTAACTAATTCAGGCATAAGGTAAGCAGCAGAAATAAACTGACAGAAGAATATCAAAGTATATTTTAGTTAGTAGTTAATATCCATTCTCTCAGCTGACATCTGTATTAAAGTAATTATGACATCAAGCTTTCTCTCTGTCACAGGGTGTTACTCTTTATTTATCAACTGTGCCCATATATTTATCTCTTGGGTATTCCAAGTGTTCTACTATTAGATTTATCTACATCTGTATTTAACAGGTTTGTGGGTGAAAATGCCCAGATACCAATGCATTATTGTCTTACTGTAGGTTGCTTGCATTTTCAGTCCCACATTTGAAGAGTCAGTGCTTTTGTGCATTTTGTATTTAACCAACCATCTTGTGCTTCCTGAATTTCATCATTTCTTATTATTATTAAGCCTCTTAACATTAGTGAAGTCAAAAGACTGCTTTGTATGGTCACTGTTGTTGCCATTTTTCAGCATATGAATATCAGTATTTTCATCTTGAAACTTAAGGATGTTTTAAGAAATATAACAATAAATTTAAAGCATGTTTATCTTCTTTCTTGAAATATGGTTTCACTGTGAATTACATGTAACCTATCAATTGACAAAAATCAACTTCTAATGAAGTTTTTTTTTCCCTATTAGGTTTCTGTTGAATATCTTTGTGTAGCAACAGGTTTGATGGATGATGCAGACGAACATGACATTTCTTCCTCTTCTAGCTCCAGCCCCAGCTCTTTTGGTGGTGTTGCAGCTTATCACCAGAGGGAACAAAGCCTTGCAGCAGCAGGCCTAGATATACATTCCTGTTTACATTTTCTTCTAGACCTTTACAGTCAATGGTTATCAGCTAGTTCCTGTACACGTACTCCATTGACTCTTTTAAGCGAAGTGACTCGATCAGTAAGTTATTCAAATATAAACCTAGCTTGGTAATTTTTGCAAAAATATAACTTGTCTGCCGATAGTTGTTAGTTTCTACACATGATCTGTATTAAGTGAAGTAACTCGATCAGTAAGTTATTCAAATATAAACCTAGCTTGGTAATTTTTGCAAAAATATAACTTGTCTGCCGATAGTTGTTAGTTTCTACACATGATCTGTATTAAGTGAAGTAACTCGATCAGTAAGTTATTCAAATATAAACCTAGCTTGGTAATTTTTGCAAAAATAAAAATCTATCAATGGTTGCTAGTTCCTGCACATGTACTCTGTTAAGTAATTTGATTAGTAAGTTACTCGTATGTTAACCTAGCTTATTAATCTTTTAAAGCATGAAACTAGCCTGTTGAAGTGATTGCTTCATAAAATTTTCAATTGGAATTGGATGGTCATTTACAAACCTCTTGTTAGGGAATTTGCTAATTGGTAAGTTTTAAAACATCAAAGAATTCTGAACAAGGTGACTTGATTGGTTAGTTACTTAGACATAAATCTACATGATCTAGGCTGAGGTTTTAATGCCCTTTAAACTCTGTTTAGATTAATGTAAACTTTTACATGAAAAACCTGATAAGTGAAAGGAGACTGGGACAACAACTTTAACTTTACCAGTGAACTATGCAACACTGCATTGTTCACTTAAAAGGCTTCTTACTATACATTTAACTCTCAACATAAGCTTGGTCGAGTTGACTGACCACATGACCTCTTTGTACTTATTTAAAGTCTTTATAGTTTTGATACTACTAACTTTTAATATAGTATATATGTCTTTACAAAATTTGGCACACTTTCAGTAAATGTTATAACTCTTTCAACAAGAAATCATATTTTTTAGTGAAGTATCTTTAATAAACTGAAAAAAAGTTTGTCCGTGAATATATTGAGTATTTGTTTTGTCTAGTCCATGTGGAAAATGATTTTCATGTTAAGATTAAAAATACTTTTCTTCATCTCAAAAATCTCAGATTTGATTTGCATAATTTCTAAAAACTCCTAAATACATTTCCATGTTTGTTTTCAGCAAAACTTTATATTTTATCTGTTATTTTCTCTACCCTAACTCTATACTAGGTTGTTCAATTTGACAGACCTCGTACCCACCAAAAAAAAAAACAAAAAAACTTGAAATAAGTCTAAATTACCCTTTTTTCCTTTCTATAATGATTTTCAATTGTAACATGAAAGGATATTTGTTTATCCCAAGTAGATTTCAACTTATAACAGTATACATCTATTTATACTTAAATTTTATTGTTTTATTGCACTTTTAACCATGTCTAACTACTATTTACATCATTATAAGTTGTAAATCACTTGTGGAATGTGGAGATCACATTGCGCTATTGAATTACGTTACCAAGGAGCTGCTCGTGCATTATTATTATTTATTTTACCTAATCTAACCTTAACTAACCTGAAGAGATCCCTATTTTTACATTTTAGTTACTTTTCTAATAATAAATTAAGAATAAATACGAAAAACAAGAAATAAAGTATTTACCTGGGCCTTGTTTTTATTTGCCCCACGACGTGGATTCCTGTACGTGGTGATGGAACCTCCCAGGGAAGGTTCTGTATTTTCAGTTACCTCCTCTGGGATCTAAACATCCACCCACGTGTTTGCCGTGCGTAGCGACCCGTGAAGAGGAGGAGAGGATCCTGGTGGTTGAGTGGTGTCTGGGGCACTGCAACACACCAGTTTGGCCTTGAATTCCTGTAGATGGGTGGCCTTGGGGTGGCCACCAGGGTCAATCGGCTGGTCTACTTGGGCTAGGGTCAACTGAGTACCAGTGTTGGACATTCTCAACGGGTGTTGTGGACATTGTGTCTGATGCTGGTGTTTGGGTATAGTGCTCACAAAACCCTGGCATTGCTGCAGTGTCCTTGTTTGACACTGTAGTGCATCCCCTCGTAGGACTCCGTGAAGGGTGGGGTCAGTGGGCACTGAATCTTTTTCTTTTATTATGGATCCCCCCAATCCAAATAAAAAAAGTGTAAAAACTCTGTTAATTGGTAAAAAACTGTGCCTAGAAGACTCTGAAAAGCAGTCTCCACCACTATGTGGACCTGTACCTCACTTTCTGATCTTGCATTCACTATCTGGTAAATCTTTAGGGCAAATGTGTCCCATTTTTATTCAGAAGGGATTAGAGGAGCTTGCTGGCTCTCCAAAGTCAGTTAAGAAGCTCCATTCTGGAGACATCTTGGTTGAAACATCCACAGCAAAGCACAGTGAACTCCTCTTGAATTCAAAGGCCATTGAGGTTACTCCCCATGCTTCTTTGATTTTCCTCATGGGGAAGTATTGTCGAAAGGGACTTAAAGTCTATCCCCGAGTCGGAGATCCTTGCTGGTTTACCCAACCAAAGATTTTCAGGAGTTCGTTGAATCTCCACTCGTCAAGATGGTATTATGGTGCTGACTTCTGTTCTGATTTTGACGTTTTCATCACCACGTCCACCTGCCACTGTTAAGGCGGGTTATTTGAATTGAAAGGTACGGTCCTATATTCCCAACCCTCTCCGATGTTTCCAGTGCCAGCGATTCAGTCAATCGAAGACATCTTGTCATGGTTCTGTAACATGTGCTTGTGTTGGCAAGGACCACGACGCCTCTGAGTGCAAGCTGGACCCTCACTGTGTTAATTGTATTGGTTCCCACCCCCTCTTACTTTAGGTCTTGCCCTAAGTTGGTGGAGGAAAAAGAGGTACTGCATTTGAAGACTGTTCACAACATTTCTTACCCAGAGGCTCGGAAGCTATTGTTCCCTACTCCATCTTGGACATATGTCACTCCACTGGTACAGTGGGGGTGCAGACAGACCATTCCATGCCTCCATCTGAGTCTTTTTCATGCTATGTGAGGGGTCTTCTGCCCTCCATGGATAATAGAGTTGGCCGGTCTACGTCTACTCCAATCTCTGTCCCTACTATTCCTTCCAGTGACTGCCTGGGTCAACCTCCTGGGGCACCAGTGTCCGCTCAGGTCCTTCTTTGGCCCCCTAAATGCAGGACGATCATTCGATCATGTTCTCAGTCATTGAATTCTCACTCTGATGACAGAGATCTGCCCACTCGATCAAGGGCAGGATCCATGGAGGTCGATCGGCCTTCATCTAGTAAAGAAAAACGGTGTGGTCATAAACCGAAGGGTTCTCCACCCTGTTCTCCTAAACCTACATAAAAATTGCCATTTTGAGACTGTGGAACTGATGGGGTTTTCATTCTAATCTCAATGACATTAAGGCCTTGATCAACTCCTATCATCCCGTATGCCTCTCCTTACAGAAAACATTTCAGAAACTTGCCGATACAGCCACCTTTTGGTCAGTTTCTTTGTACTGGATTGACAGGTTGTGTGATGGATGGGTGCATGGAGGAGTGGCACTGCTGATCAACCAGCATGTGCCCTCCTCATCTGTGTCCCTCGATACACCCTTGGAGGCCATAGCCATACGTGTTTCCTTGGGTCGTAACATCACTGTTTGTTATCTGTACCCGTCTCCTGGGGAGACTTATGATCAATCAGACCTTGATGCTCTTGTTGACCAGTTGCCATCTCCCATCTTCTAGGAGACTTTAATGAACACAACACCCTCTGGGGTGGTGCTGATATTGATGGGAGGGGTCATTCCTTAGAGCATATGCTCTTGGATCACAACCTTTCTCTCTTCAATACTGGAACATATACTTATTTTTATGCACCTAGTCAGTCTTTTACTGCCATTGATCTTTTGATTTGCTTCCCTTCACTTTTCACTTGCTTTCCTTCGATGGTCGACAGAGACCCATGGGGCAGTGATCATTTTAATATCATTATGAGGGAGGTTGGCCATGGTCAATGCCACCTGACCCGAGTGCCACAGTGGAAGTTAGACCAGGCTGACTGGCCATTTTTCACCTCTCTCTCCGAACTTGATCCTGCCTTTGTCTGTCTGCCATCATTAGATGACTGTGTGGTTGCAGTGACTGACTGTATCATCCAGGCAGCTGCTCATTTTATTCCTAAGACCTCGACACGTTTTCCACAGTATCCTCGTCCATGGTGGAGTCCTGCCTGCCAGGAGGCATGGAAGGCTCAAAAACGGGCCTGGGATACCATCGGATGGTATCCCTCTCTTTCTAACCGCATTGTTTATCAGCGTGCCCATGCTCGGCAGGTTCGACATCAAAGCCAGAAGGAGTCTTGGATTAAGTTCACTACTAGCATCTCTTCTACCACCAGTTCCAAAATTGTATGGGACAAGATTTGGAAAGACACTTGGAGGTATGCTTCTCATCCCCTTTCTATCTTGCTCTCCAATGGCCAGGAAGTTGCTGATGTCCAAAGCATTGCTGATTCTCTCGGCCACAGCTTTTCTCGTGCTTCTAGCACTTCTGTTTCTTCCCCTGCCTTCTTGGCCATCAAGTCTCGGGCAGAGCGATCACCTCTTTCCTTTCGGGCCGATTGTCTCTATGACTATAATTGCCCCTTTACACTGGTGGAACTCAAACTTGCTCTTCATCGGTCTAGTATATCGGTCGAACCTGATGGTGTTCATTATGAGATTCTGCGCCATCTCTCTCCAGCCTCTCTTGCTATTCTTCTGGTTATTTTTAACCGGAGCTGGCAGGAGCATGTTTTTCCTGATGCTTGGTGCCAGGCTATTGTCCTCCCTTTCTCTAAACCTGGGAAGGATCCCAAAATTCCTTCTAATTATCGTCCCATCACTTTGACTAGATGTATTTATAAGGTCTTAGAGAGGATGGTTAATGTTCGTCTTGTTTAGTTCCTCGAATCGAACATGCTCCTCTCGCCCACCCAGTGAGTTCAGTCGACAGTGCTCCAACGTGGATCATCTGAATCGACTTGAAACATCGATCAAGGAAGCCTTCCTGAAGAGAGAACACCTTGTTTCTGTGTTCTTTGATCTAGAGAAGGCTTATGACACTATGTGGAGGTATGGCATTTTGCAAGACCTCCACTCCTATGGGTTGCATGGCCATTTACCCATTTTTATTCAGAACTTTTTACTGAACAGGTGATTCCAAGTCCATGTGGGTTCAACTCTTTCCCGTTCCTTTCCACAGGAACTTGGAGTCCTTCAGGGCTGTGTCATGAGTGTCACACTTTTTAGTGTTAAAATTAATGCTATCACTACTAATCTTCCTCCAACTGTTGCAAATGGGCTCTATGTCGACGACTTCCACATCTCGTGTCAGTCATCGAACTAGAGGGTTATTGAACGGCAGCTTCAGACTGCCCTCAATTGCTTGCTGACGTGGACCACGGCAAACGGTTTTACATTTTCTTTTTCCAAAACCGTTTGCATGCATTTTTGCTGCCAACAGGGTCTCCACCCTAATCCCAAGCTCTGTCTCAGCAATATAGTCATTTGTGTGGTTCCTGTCAAGTGTGAGGGCTCTGAACATCCTCCGTGTCGTCTCTTCCAGTTCTTGGGGGCAGATTGATGTTCTATGCTCAGGATCTATTCGTCTCAGCGATATAGTTATTCATGTAGTCCCTGTCAAGTGTGCAAGGGCTCTGAACATCCTCCATGTCCTCTCTCTTCCAGATCTTGGGGCAGATTGATGTTCTATGCTCAGGATATATCGTGCCCTGATTCAATCCAAACTGGACTATGGGTCTGTGGTTTTGCCAGGACCTTGGCCTTGAAGATGCTGGACCCCATTCACCATCTGGGGCTTCGACTTTGCATCGAAGCTTTTTGCACTTCTCCAGTCCAGAGTTTGTACACTGAGTCCCACAAACCTCCTCTTCACCTCTGTCATTTGCAATTTTCTTTACAATATGCTACCAAGCTTCGATCCTTACCACGGCATCCCACCTGGGATTGTGTCTTTCTTCCTTGGTGGGCTATGCTCTTTCAAAACAGATGATCTGCAATTCCTTCCTTTGGCCTTCATATCCTGGCACAACTGGCTCAATTGGGTCTGGCCTTGGATGACATTGCTGTCCCCAATGATCAGCCCCTTCTGCCATGGCATCTTACCATCCCTTCCTGTGACCTTTCATTGAGTCATCTGAGGAAGGTGGATACTCCCGATTGGAAGTACTGTCTTCTTTTTGCTGAACATCTTTCGGGCCATTCTTCTCTTCCTATTTACACGGATGGTTCGAAATCGGGTGACTCTGTAGGCTCTGCCATGGTGTGCTGTGGCTCAGTAGTTGCTCGCAGGATCCCCTCTACAGTTTCTGTGTTCACTGTCGAGTTGTATGCTATTTCTCTTGCCCTGGATCATGTTGAAGCTATGCAGTACACTGATTGTACTATTTTCACTGATTCTCTTAGCTCTCTACTGTCCCTAGAATCGTTTAATGTTAGTTATCACCCTGTTCTCGTCGATATTCAACAATGACTGACCCATTTTTCTCTATCTTCTGTTTCCATCCAGTTTTTCTGGATACCTGGCTACGTCGGTATTCATGGGAACGAGTCCATCTGCTCTGGTGCCGTCACGGCCATGCCTGTCCCGTACATGGACTACAGTCCTGTCTTCAAGGCACAGCTTTATGCCAGTTGGCAGTTGACTTGGGGTGAGCAACGTCATAACAAGCTTTTTCAGATCAAACCTTCTGTTGGTCTTTGGCTGTCTTGCTTCCGTAAGGATTAGAAGGAGGAAGTTGTCCTGACAAGGCTATGCATTGGTCAAAGTTTTTTAACTCATTGTTTTCTTTTATCTGGTATTGACCCACCAATGTGTATCCATTGTGACACTCAAGTCACAATAGCCCACATTTTACTATCATGCCATCGTTACGACCGTGAGTGGCAGCACCATTTTAGACACATGTTTTGGAAGAGTTTACCCCTGACATTGGACAGTGTCATTGGCAATGGTGACACTCTCCGACTTGATTGTATTTTTAATTTTTTACTCTCTATTGGCCATTTTAATTGTATATAAATATTTTCTCCCAATTTTGGACATATTTTGGTTTTAACTTGCTGTATGTTTACATTTTACTCTAATTTACTTTCACTGTTTTTACCGGTTGTTTGGCACAGATAGCCTCATTGCTTTGTACCATAAAACACCAACCAACCAACCTTTTTTTTGCTGTTGACTATCGATGATACTTAACCCTACTTTTTTATATACAAATGGTAGTAACATTTAGTCAAATAATGCACCAAAGAACATAGAATAATAACATGCAGAAAGCAGACAATTTCCCCTAACTATCACAATTTTTCTGACTGTTTAACTATGTGACAGGAGCTTTTACAAATTCATTCAAGCTAATCACTATCTTTCCTGTGGGATTGAAGCTTGTACTAACAGTGAAATAGACAATTCTCCACTCAAAAAACAACATAATGTTAGATCGTCAAGAAATTAATGTCTCTTTTCTTTTAGATGAAAAAACCCGAACAACTTATATATCAAAACAAAATGTTTATTTAATGAAATTGTCTCTATTACAAGAAGTTTATCACAGACCTACATCTATTTTCAAATTTTGTTTAGGAACAATAGAGGAACATTTTTATCATAAGCTTTTACGTGAAAAAGCTATTAAGCGAAAACAAACTCTAGGATCAGGACTCCTGGCTAACAGGGCAAATACTCTACCAAGGAGCTGTCCAACAATAAAAGCTGGTTCTGTCATTTTTCATCTTTAAGATTCTTACTACAAGTATGATCACAATACAGTTTTTATGATTAGGGGTTGATTTATCACTAGTTAACCAAATTATACAAAGTGGTAAATCAGCACACTAATTGCATGATCATAACTTAGTATTGAAGGCTGGTACTTTATGAAACAGAATCAATAATCTTTACTTTTTGTGGGGCTTTTTACAGGGAAAGTTTTAAATAAGTAACTTTTGTTGTCCATATATTATATAACACGTAAATCTGCATGGTCAGCACATCCCTCCTTTGCTCATCAAAAGTCTTTTTTTTCACTCTTATGCTTTCCTTCTGACATATACTAAAATATATTTCCAATAGGTACTTACATCCTCTCACACTTTCCATCCTTCCTTCCCATTTATAACCGATGCTTCCTTTTTGCCTACTCTTGAAGTGATAGTTCAGTAAAATCAAATAGAGGGAGTCACAGGTGTCGGGAGGGTGTGACGCATTTCTATTGGGGAAGGGTCGTTACATGATGATTTACATGTGAGAAGCAGTAAACCACATTGAGCGTGGGGTATGTGGGAGCTCAAGGCTTATGGCATGCGAAAAAATTTTGTATATAGAGGGCAGCAATGAGAAGAGATACCTATTGGAAATATATTTTCGGTATAGAAAAGTAATAACTTTTAAACACTTTATTAACTGATTCCTTGATATGCTGAGATGTGACCTAAAATGAGTAATTTTGTTCTTCTATATAATTCAAAAGAGTGAATCAGTTGTATTTGTTTTCATTTTAGGTAGTGTTCTTGTCTGATATCTTCATGGAGCGATCACAGTTTGAATGGATGTTGGATACATTTCTTGAACTTCACCGTGTGCATCCAGCTGAAGATGAAATCATGGCCCAATATTTAATTGTTGGCATCAGTAAAGCAGCAGCTGTCTTAGGAGTAGTAATTATTATTTTTCAATTATTTTTCTTTCTTTGAAAATGTTAGTTTCTACTGGAATAATAACACTGTGTAATAATAATGATATTTAATTCTAAATA